GAAGCTTACGAAACAGCAGCCTCTGGTAAAGGAATTAAAATTATTATTAAAGTTTGAATATATTGAAAACAAACAAACAAACAAAACAAAGATAAAAATCGGCAAAAACAATTTGCAAAACTGCTTGAACGTGAAATCAAATTAAAATCTGTTTTTTTTTATATTTTTCTTGGGAAATTTGTTTACAAAAAAATTGGCGGTACTCTTTTTTTTCTATTGAAATTTTCAAGGATGTTTTTTTCGTTGCTATTTTTAAAAAAACTTTGAGATTAAAAATGATGAAAAAAACATTGATTTCGGAATTGATATTCCGTTCATTATCATTATCACAGTTGACAAAAATGGGCCAAAAAAAACAAAACAAAAAATCATTTTCGCAATTTTTCTTGCACGCGCACTATATGTGTCTAATGTGATTCAGATTCATATTTATTTATTAATCCTACGACATTTGGAAATTACGTAATTTTTTGTTGTTGTTGTCGTGGTCACCATAAATAAATTGATTCAGAAAAAAACAAATCTGTGTGTTGTGAAAAGAAAAATCTGATGATGATGATTTGATTACTTGCAACATTGATGGAAAAAAAAATTTTGTTAGCTAATAATAAATAAATGTTACACAAAAAACATCATCATCATCATTATGGTCGTGAAATGTAGTTCAATTTCTTAACTCACACATAAATTACAAATGACAATTTTCAAAACTTTTTTTGGATCATTGCATTAATCCATTGATTCAAAGCTAAGATCATGATTCAAATGATCCATGATCTTAGCTTTGAAAAAAATTGAAAAGATTCAATGTAATTCAACAACATTTGACAAAACATTTGAATGATTAACACTTGATGATACTCGAGGTTCAAAATTGAAAAATAATAATAATAATTTCGTATCGATCAAATTTTTACTCGAATCGAATCTTGTTACAATTTTATTGATTGAAAATTGGTATCATCATCATCATTATCAATTATTCAGAAAAGCGAAACAAATCAATAATTTTTTGTTTTCTATATTCCAAAAACGTATACTTATAATTAACGGTTTCAAACGAACAAAATCCTCTTGAATCATTGATTGATTTGAATCTATATATTTGTTCAAATGAATGTCAAGTTTTTTTTTCTTGAAAATGAATTATAGTCATTTTATTGAAAAGCAACAACAACAACAAAACAAAAATCCAAAATCGAAAAATGAAAAAGTGAATGACGAACCTACAACAACAACAACAAAATGTGAATAATAGAAGAAAATATGATTTTTGGATGGATGGACCAATAATCATCAATCAAGAAGAACATTCATTAAAAATGCAATGCAAAGCTATGCAAAATAAATGATGCATCAAGTAAAAAAGATTTGACATTGTGCTTGTGCATGGTGGTGGTTGTTTTCGATAAGAGTTAACCACGACAGCGACGATAACTGAATTAGTTTCGATGTTTTCTGTTTTTCTGTTTTCAGAGTGAGAGAGTGAGAGAAAGGAAGGTTTTTGCAATGAAATTCGGAACTAAGAGAACACACTGATATGAATTTTTTTAAGATGAAACGATTATTTTGGCAAGAAAATTGAAAGTAAAACAGGTTATTTAAACATTCAATCAAATATAGATAAAATTTTGAAACGTAGTTTCCCCGTTAAAAAGTATTTTTGCCACGTAGAGAAACAAGGCGTCAACCCCAGTCGATTAATATAAATACATTGATCGAAATCATTGAAAGATTCATTCGACTTTTGATTTACAATCTTATAACTGTTTTTTGATTTTTTTTTTGTTTTTAAAATATTGATTTTGTTCCAAATTTTCAACGAAAAACTAAACCAAACCAAACCAATAATGGATACTGAACGTGAACTTACTCAAGTAATTATACAGGCAAGACGTTTACCATGTGAACAATTTGAATCATGTAAAGATTGGACAAAAGAAGAAATCGCACGTGCAAAAAAAATGTATCAAAAAATTGATCGTCTTCAATCATCACCAAAAATTTCATCAAAATTATTTAATGAAGCACGTGATTGTTGTGATATGTTATCCCAATATATACGTAAATTAGAAATTCATTTATCATCATCAAATGGACATACATTCAATTCATTTGTTGATTTGGGTACAGCAAACAAAGCAGCNAAAGAAGAAATTCAACGTGCAAAAAAAATGTATCAAAAAATTGATCGTCTTCAATCATCACCAAAAATTTCATCAAAATTATTTAATGAAGCACGTGATTGTTGTGATATGTTATCTCAATATATACGTAAATTAGAAATTCATTTATCATCATCGAATGGACATACATTCAATTCATTTGTTGATTTGGGTACAGCAAACAAAGCAGCAGCAATCTTTTGAAATCCAAAAATAATGACCAACGAACAACCAACAGACAAAACGAACGAACAACCGATGGACCGAAAAATGGAAATTCATGGATTCCGAATGAAATTCTCATCATTTTCAAACAAAACAAACGATTTTTTTTATCATTAATTTTACTCTCTGTATTTAATTACAATATGTTTTCTTTATTTATTATATTTGATATTCAAATGAATGTAAAACTGAAAATATAATAATAAACAATGATTATTGATTTGTGACGAACGAATTAAAAAAAAATTTAAAAAATTTGAATAAATAAATTTCAATGTTCAAGAAAAAAAAACAAACAAACAAAAAAAATTTAAAAATAACATTTGTTCATTGAAATTCATTGAATCCTTTTTTTATGATTTTCCTAATGGCTTATGGCGATACATATTTAATTTAGAAAAAAGAAGCGAAAAAAAAGTTAAGAAAGTGAAAAGAAAACAGGAGCTATTTGATTACATTTTAATTAATATTAAACACGTTTTTTGTTTTTGTTTTTTTGTATTTTTTATTTTGTTTTTGTATTTTTGATGAAATAATTTTGAATTTGATTAATGAAAGAAAATGGAAATTCACACATTATGTAATCTCTTCGCATATAGAATAAAATTATCATTCACTTTTACTTTATTTTCTGACGACCATTTAGAAACAATTAAAAACACAGATATTTAGCAAATTATTAGTTTGATTTACAATTTTGTAATTTTGAATTTTTTAAACATAAATTAATTACAAACAAAAAATATCATCTTTTCCAAACGATAGATGGCGTTTAAATCTTAATTTTTAAACAAAAAAATTCGAAAATCACGCGAGCGAAAGAGAAAAAAAGGGCGAAAAATGAACAAAAAAATTTTCTTGATTAAAGAAGATTTTTCTTGATTTTTTGCTTTGTTTAAGAAAACGATGATGATGATGATAATTTCCATAAAATGGCCATTTATTTGTTTAGAACAAACAAACAAACAAACGAAAAAAATACATTCAGGAAACTATCCACTTTTGTTTTTCTTTGGTAAAAAAATAAATATTCAACAACAAACTCTGAAATCCAAGAATGATCATTATCGTTTCACACACAAATAATTATTGTTTGTAATAAACATTATTACTATTATTAAGATTCAAGGATTCTGTGGCCCAAAAATAACAACAACAACAAACAGAATATGAAAAATGAAAAATAGGAAATGTGTGTTGTGATTTAATTGCAAACAATCGAAACGAAAAAAACACTTTATTTAATAATGATGATGATGATGATAATCTTCAATGATCATCATCAACACGAGATATCTTTCAAGTGTTGATGATGACCAATGATTATGTAAATTATAAATAATCATTGAATTGAATCGAATGAATGATGATATCCTGCCCAGGCCACACCAAAAACATTCGAAACCGACTATTTATACTTGACCTTAATTCCTGCTCAGCAGTAACTTTTGTTTTTTGTTTTTTTTCATTTCATTTTTTTTTAAATTGAACAAAAACTCAATTGTTTTTCATCAAAACAAAGTAAAGTTTTTCAGATTGACTGAGTTAATCAAAAAGTTAATTTTTAATTGAAAATTTTTGTTTTTTCTTTCATTTTTCTTCAAGGATAAACATATCATGGGAATGGTCATCAGAATGATGCCCAGTTCTTTTCTTTTCTTTTGTTTTCGTTCAATGTTCATCATAATCATATGGTGGCTATATGGTTTTTCGCAAAATACTCAAGCTGCAATCATCATCATAGTTTAGATAAATCAATGATGTTCGTGATCATTATGTTAATTGGTTGACTGACGTTTAAGAAAAAAGGTCATTTAAATCTTTAATTTTCGTAAGAAAATCATAACAAAACAAAGGAAAAATTATTATTATGAAACAGATATTCTGCAATTATTATTGTGTGAATATGCATCATAATCATCAGTTTTTGATGCGACAAACACACAGAAAAACTATGAAAAAATTACAAAAAAAATGATGACCATGATGATGTTTGACATCAATTATTCGACGATGATGATGATGATGATGATTTTTAGAAAGAAAATTATTGTAGCAAACCACGTGATCATAATGATGATGATGATGATGAATTTAATAATTGTTAACCTTTTTTTTATAATGGATTTCTTTTCTTTTTTCAATTTTCTCACCAACAACTTAATGGAAAAAAAACTGTGTAAAATTGTCATCACCAACGTGTAATTATGTTTAGCCTCTTTTTTTCTTTCGATGATTATTATCAGCAAAATTGTTTGATGAGAAAAGATAAATTAGATTTTCTTAGTTTCAAGAAATGTCATTGTGGTAAAAAAATTTGGAAATTGTTTTCATTCACCTAACCTATTAAGGATTAATGGATTTAATGTTTTTTTTTTTTTTTTGAAGAAAAAAAAACATGTCATTAACATTTAATCGAAATCCATTTAATCCTTCGTTAATCATCATCATTGTTTTTCTTCAATTTCTTTGATTAATCGATTAATTAAGTTAATGGATTTAACCCCCTTCCCCTCCAAAAAACAAAAACAAAAACAAATCTTTGTTTCTCATCATCGTCATCATTGAATAATTCAACCGAACAAAAAACAATGATAATAATAATTGAAACTTTTCATAAGAAGAATGGATATTCAATAGGTATGCAATGGGTATTTAAAGGCGATTTGATTGCATAATGATAGCACATTCATCTTGATCAATCACATTATCAACAACCGACAAACAAACCAATGGATCAACAATCATCATCATCGATCGAAAATCCTATTGAACGTGAACTAAAGAATTTGATTTTGAAAGCTAAAAAGCTAATTCAAAACAATGCTGATGATGATTTACCAAAAGATTTTGATTGGATCAAGCAGAATATTGATTCGACCGAAAAATTATTGAAACAAATCGAATCGATACAGCAAAAAAATGTATCGATTATCGATACGAAATTATTCAATGAATCACGTGATTGTTGTGAACAATTAAAAAATTGGTCAAAATTATTGTTGGAACATCGTAAACGAATACAGAATGATGATCAAAAACAAATGGTTCAACAATTGGATCAATTTAGTCAACAAAACACTAGTTTTAATATTACACGTAAATATTTTTTTAATAAATAAAAATTTTATAAAAAACTTTATAAATTGATAAAAATTTTATTTACTTTCTTTATTTTTAAAAAAAAACGATTAAAAATAAAAATTGATTTTTTTAAAAAAATGAAATAAAAATAACTATTTTGTCATGATTACAATGAATGGATCATTATTTACAAGTCAATCAAACTTGGTTTGTGAGAAAACAAAAAAAAAATGATAATTAAATTGTAAAACAGGAAATTTTTCTTCTTCATTGTTTCACCTAAGGATTAGGATTTTAAGATTTTGATAATGTCATTCACATTTAATTGACAAAAAAAGAAAGCCCATAATGTTACTTTTGATCAATGATTTTTTAAAATCTTTTTGAATCTTTAATCTTGGTTCTCATCATCATCATTGAACAAATCAACCGAAGAAAAACCGAACAATTTCCATGGAAAAAGGTATTTAAACAGATAAATTTGCAAAATGATTTTATTATTAATCTTTATCAATCCAATCAATCAACAAACAACCGACAAATCGACAAACCAAACAATGCAACATTCATCAATGAAAAATCCAATTGAACGTGAATTAAATGATTTGATTTGGAAAGCTAAACAATTAATACAGATCGATATTTATAATGATAATACAAAAGATTATGATTGGATTGAACAGAATATTCAAGAAACGGCCAAATTATTGAAACAAATCGAATCATTACAGCAGAAAAATATGGCCATCATAATACATTCATATATGTCAATTATTGATACAAAATTATTTAATGAATCACGTGATTGTTGTGAACAATTACAAAATTGGTCAAAATTATTGTTGGAACATCGTAAACGTTTACAAAATGATGATCAAATGTCATGATCATTTGGTCAATGGTCAATGGTCAAAGGTTGGTTCAATCATGGTCAACAACCAAACAACAACCGTAAACGGGTTTTGACATTATCTAAATACGTAAATATCTTTCTTTTTTTTCTGATAAATTTTAAAAATGACAAGATTTTTGAACAAAATAAAAAAATTTTCATTTTCTGTTGTTGTTTTTTTGTATTTTTTTGAACGGAATTTTTCCAGAAAAAAATATTGATTTTTGAAACAAACAAAAACTAAAAAAAAGTCATGATTGTAAGATTATTATTATCAGGATATAGCAATAATGAATCATCCTTTAAGCACAAATCAACAAGCAAACAATAACAATTTTTTATTATTATCAGAAAAAATATTGATTGAAATCAATATTTCAAACGAATTAACATTGAAAAAAAATTGATTAAAATTTTTTGCGATAAAATTATTAGTGTGTTTGACCAGTTATCAGTCAGTCAGTCAGCGGAGAAATTTTTCCACACAAGAGCCATGGATACACACATGACATTTTTTAAATGGCCAAACAAAATCCAAAAAAAATGCCTATCCCATCATCAAGATTTTTTGGCCATTTTTTTCAAAAAAATGATAATGATAATGATGATGATTATCATCATCAAACACACACACAATGAACAACACACACACACAGCCAGCCATCAACACTATCATCACCAATGGACTTTTCTTTT